CAAACTTGAAAACGTCTGCTGATTCAATGAAGTTATCTTATGATGAGAGATCTACTGAAGTCAGCTTTGTACCAGGAGACAAGGTGTGGTTGTATAATCCCAGGGAAGTCTTCTAAGTTATCTTTTCCATGGGAAAGCCCATATGACATTGTGAATCGTCTCTCAGACGTGACTTTCCAAATAAAATGTGGTCAGCGAGGTAAGCCAAAGGTGGTGCATGCCAACAGGCTTTGGCATTATCATGGTCCAGGACATTTTAGTTGGAACGAAGTAAACAACGGAACAAAAGATGCTGCTGAAGTCGTGTCACCTGAAAAATCCACTGTCGAAGAAGAAGGTCTTAAGAAGGAAGACAGTGAAGCCGTTAATGAAGTTACTATCACTGATGTGACTGCTACCGATAATGGAACATTTCCTGATGGAGCAGATGAACCCCACATGAAGCAGAAGCCAGTGAGACCAAGACCAGTACAGAAGAAGATACGTTCTGTAATATTAAGAGACTTTGTTGTATCTTAATTTTGTTTGTAAATTCTGCACATTTAATTAAGTTATTGTTAATTATCTGTTGGTTAAATGTAAGTGGCTATTGTTTGGGATGAACAATACTAAGGAAGGGGCAGTGTTATGACAGCGGAAGTTACGCGACACTGGGAGCATGCGTGCTGGAGTTTCTCGAAGGATCGTGAATTTGCTTAGCAACTGTAGTCTGAATTGAGATGCCCTCTTTTTTTTTAATATGTAAGCCTGGCAGAGAGACCAGCGATAGGCAGATAGATAATTGAGTCAAGCAAACAGTAGGCACCATATGTAAAGTGTGTGAATCACTGTGATTTTTAGTGTGTGTTATAAAGCTTGATAAATTTAAAGTGACTTTGGAAATTCTGTGTATTACAAAAAGTTGTATCGAGAAAAATAAACTGGTTTAATCAAGAAAGGACTTGTATCACTGAAGTTCCTCGGAAAGAATTTCTACCGGAAATTATCAAACAAGCAGATACGTAACAATACGTTATAATGCTAATTTGATTACATACATACTGTTTAATTGAATTTTTAATGTAACCCTGTAAAATGTAAAACCTCGCAACATGGGCAGGAAAGGTTACAATCTATGTCCAAGTGACCTACCTGTAACTAGAAGGTTAAAGGCTTATTGAATTGAGTTTGTTGTTTTTATAATCTTGTGGCCAGTAAACATCAAGCAACATTTCAAAGCTAACAGAGTATTTTTTATAAAAATCAATATAGGTATTGTGGACAAAGATAAAGTATGAGAATCCATCAAGCAATCTTTTCATATCAAAAGACAGCACCCTGATTGTCCCAGATCCAAGATACTCCATTCGCCATGATGAAGCAAGCAAAACTTACACACTGCAGGTTTGACTCTTATGATATTAATTTTTTTTTTTTTTTGTAAGGTATTATTTCTAAGAACAAAACATTATTGAAAACAAAACAAATAGCAGTAGTACCATTTATTTATAAATATCATCAGAAGAGAGGAGTGATTGCAACCAATCAGAATAAGGCTGGGAACTAAAACATCAAAGGTATTATTTTACCAAAAAAATACCATATCCAGTGATTGTTAACAGTAGTACACATTTTGGCATTGTCAAAATAATTATGCGAACTAAAATCTAAAAAAAAAAAAAAAAAAGAAATTTAGTGTTGAACAGCATTATGCCTGATGAACCTTATAAGAAATGTATACATTTTGTTGATTGGAGAAAATGGTGGAATACTTGTATTTATTTTGTAATTACATTAAATCCCTATATTTGAAAGTTTTTTTGTTTTAATAAATTAACAATCATAAATGATACTAAATCATAAGATAAGTGAAATTTAAAGTGCAAAATAGATTTTTTGTTTTTTCATTCATTATTACATTATTGATGTAAGTAAATTTGTTTTCTACTTGGGAATTGTCAATAAATTTGAAATTAAATTTGCAGAATTGAATGTTGCATTCACAAACAGTTGTTAAAAAAAATTGATATTTTTAGCATTTTTATCTATAAATTACTGTAGGTTTTAGGAAATACCACCAAATTGGTAGTAATGTGTATGTTGTTGTATTATGAAAACTGTTACCTTTCCATAACTCAAGCTGACAGTGCTAGATCCAGTTTCATTTGTGTGTTTGTTTTTGTACAGTATAGTTTTTGTTGTATTTTTATCTAGATTTCAAAGATCCAGGAAATGGATGCTGGAATTTACCAATGTCAGGTGCTCATTGGATCAACTAGCAAGATTACTGCCGACGTTTCTATGCTTGTGAGAAGTAAGTCGCAAGCACTGCACATTTGAGAGGAAGCCAGAGATTTGCAGATTTGTAGATTTGCAGCATGAAAGGATATTATTATATTATTACTTTTCTATTCTGTTTTGTTACAAAAATATAATTTCTCATTAACTCCCTGTGTTGTTAAATTTTATTTTGTTTTCTTCTTTCTTGGGTCATTCATTGCACAAAATACTTAACAGACAGGAAGAAGTTAGGTAAAAATGTGGTAAGTTCCATCTTTTTGTAATATTATTTATTTTACTTATTCTCTAGTTCCTCCTGTGATATCAGACAACAGTACACGATCTGTCATCACAAGTAGTGGGGCCACTGTATCTCTGCATTGTTATGCCTCTGGGTTTCCGATACCCCGTGTTTCTTGGAGAAGAGAAAACAATGATCTGCTTCCAACAGGAGGTGCTGTGTACAGGGGTAATGTTCTGACTATTCACGATATCACCAAAGATGATAGGGGCACCTACTATTGTGTTGCAGATAATGGAGTTGGAAGGGGTGCTAGAAGAAATGTGGGTTTAGAAGTAGAATGTATGTACATCATTTTTAAGTCATTGAAATTATGTAACTATTTAGTATAATATTTGTTGTTTGCTACTTTTCATATCAATATGAATGTTACTTTCTCTGATACAGATGTATATTTTCATTATTACCAGTGTGTGTTTTCATTATTGTTATTATTGTAGTATAGTTTCTATAACACACATATGTTTGTTCTTTATACAATTAAATTTTTTGTTATTGTAAAAAAAACTTGGATTACAACAACAGATTTTTTAGAAATGTTGATAAAGTTTCTTCATAAAACATACTGGGCTGGTTCTCAAAGTATCAATTATAGACCCAAAAATGAAATTGGGAATTTGATTTTTTCTAGTCTTTCATAAAGCCATGGGGTAAATCTGTTTAATGCAGTGGAAGGAAAGATTTTGTAAAGCCAAGTGGTAAATCTGTATGTTGCCTCAAATGGCTATAAATATCAAAGTGGATATATCTGCTTGATGCATCTTAAGGGTTAATCAAATATGTTCTCGGTTGTCATTTTTATTGGAAACTAAAAGAAAAACATTTTTGAGTAGTGAGAAACACGTAATGACAAATATGCAATAGTTATTCTGTGTTTGTTGTTTCTCTTTAATTATATAAATATTTTGTGAACATGTTTTAAAGGTAATTCAAATGATTTTTTTTTCTGTAGTTGCCCCTTTTGTAACAGTTGATAGACCACGTTATGGACAGGCTTTACAATATGACATGGATCTTCAGTGCCACGTAGAAGCATTTCCTTCACCCTCTATTATTTGGGTAAAAGATGGATATCAGCTAAATGACAACCAGCATTACAAGATTTCCATCTTTGCCACAGCAGATGAATTTACTGACTCTACACTGCGAGTAATAAGCATTGAGAAAAAACAGTATGGAAATTACACTTGCAAGGCAATCAACAAGCTAGGGTCACACCAGATGAATATTGCCTTGATTGGTAGGTTTTTAATGATAGTTAATAATCTGATTATAAATTCAGTTCAATCAGGCAGGAGTAGCTGCAGCAAATCTACCAGAAATTTTCCTGTCTTTGTTTTCACAGATTTTGTTAGCATTCCTGTTAATTTTCTTGATTTGATTGTCAAAGGTATAGAGGGCACGACTGAAGAGGGAGGACTTTGAAAAGTTAAGCTTTTACAGATTTCTGAACGTTATTTAATATTTATATTATAATTCGTGATAATTTGGTTTAAATAACAAAATAATAATTAGATATAGTAATTTTGATAAATAAAAGTAAGACTGTAAAAGTTTTAACTTAGAGTTTAGTAAATTTTACTAAAATGTTAAAATAGGCTTAGTACGTGTAACGGTACTTTAGGCCAAGGTATATTTCAACTTACTGGTAAATCATAAAATAGGATAGATACATTGATTTATTAAATACATACAATCTAAAGACTAGTTTATTGTCTCTTGGTATTTTAAGAATTAACTTGTTTACTTGATCTTAGATCCATTAGTTTAAAATCAGCTTATACTGTTATAGGCTATAATACATTTTATTATTAACGTTACATATATTATTAGTTTTAATAAATTAAGTTCTGTTTCTAAATACTGTATAATTAAAGATAAACTTTATTACTTTAGTGTGAAGAGAAAGTAGTGATAAAAAATGTATTGGTTCTTAAACGTTAGGCTTAACAGTAACAGTGTTAACAATAGGCTACTGGTATTTGGTATTAAGTATTTATTTTCAGGCTATAAGTAAAAAATACAATGGTTAAGACTAGTGTAGGAGTTAAGCATTCAGTTTGTTAGGTGTAATGGCTGCAATGAGTGGGTTTTATTTGGGAACTCAGGACTGGCATGTACTTTTAAGGATACTAGTAATGAAGATGTGCAATTTTATGTAAAATTTGTTGGCTGGAGGAGAAGTTTGAGGCTATCCTAATCAAAGTAGATACAATAGATGAAGAGAAGCATAGACTGTGGGAATTGGCAGCAGGATTTCAAGAGGAGCTTAATCTTTTACATACAAGGAATATATCAGCTAACAATGACCTTCAGGGAGTTAGAATACTTTTAGAGTAAACAGTAGTGAATTTAGTTATAATGATCCTATTCTATTGAGCAACAAATTTCAGCTCTTGGCATCTGCAGATGAGGAACTATTGGAGGGAAGGAAAATAAAAGGGTCAGAGAAGGATGTGGATGATAAGGAGGTTATAGTTATAGGTGATTCCTTGACAAGGCATGTGGATAGAGTAGTTTGTGGGGGTAAATAAGGAGAAAAGAATCAAATTATTCTACCCAGGGGCACAGGTGGAGAATAAAACTGACAGAGCAGGAGATATAATAAAGGGGGCTAGCAGAGATGCAGTATTTGTGGTGCATGTAGGGGAAAGATTGGTCAGAGGAGCTAATTAATAAGTACAAAGGGTTGATAAAGGCATTTAAAGAAAAAGGCCATAACTTAATTTTGTCAGAGATACTGCCCAGAATTAACGGGGGATGAAGTTATAAGTAGGTCACTAAGGCTTAGGGCTAGGCTTAGGTTAGTATGTAAGGATGAGCAGATAGGCTGGTTGGAGCTTTTTGGAATGAATGATTTACACTTAAATAGGGTAGGGGCTGACTTGTTTGCTAAGGCTAACTCGGCTATAAGGGAAGTTTTAAACTGGGACTAGACTGTGGTGAGGGCAAGGAAAAACTAAATGCAAAAATAATAAAAGGCAGAGAAAATATTAGCATAGGAAATGAGTATAGAAGTAGTTATAATGATAGGCTTAATTGTTACTATTGTAATGCTAGAAGTATAACAAATAAAATAGATTATTTTAGAGCATTGGCTGGAATGGAAGATTTTGATGTAATGGGAATAACTGAATCATGGTTAAACAGAGATGATTTTGATGACAGAAGTTTCTTTTAGAAAAAAGGTTACAGGCTATGTAATAGGGATAGAGTATTAAAGAGGGGGGAGGAGTGGCTTTATATGTAAAATGCGAGTTATGTCCTGTTGAGTTGAGGATATTAAAGATAATAGCAAGGAGATTAAATCCATGTGGGTTTCTATTAGTGGATATAAAGGAAAAAGGCTTTTAATGTGAATTTGTTACAGACCACCAAATGATATTGATGAAATTAGTGAGAAACTTTACAATGAGATTAAGATTTTAGCTGTTAATGAAGTCATAATTGTGGGTGATTTTAATTTCATGCATAGATTGGGAAATGCTAGAGTCAAACCATGAGGGAGAAAGGTTTTTGGAAACTGTTCAGGATGTCTTTCTTCACGAATTAGTCAAGGAACCTACTAGAAACATTGCTGTTTTATATTTATTGTTAACTTCAAATATAGAAATGATCGAGAGGGTAGAAATTGGGGTACATCTGGGTGCAAGTGATCATTGCTCTATTAGGTTCGATGTTTTGCTGCATATGGAGATAAGGAATGATGATGTTTTGGTTACAAAATTAAAAAAAAGCAAATTTTGAAGGGATGCAACAAGAATTATCTGTTGCAAATTGGGTAGCTGAGTTATTTGGAGACACTGATCAGATGTAGAAAAGTTTTTAAATATTCAAGGTAAACGTATTCCTTATAGAAGGGAAAAAGGTACCTGCAAGTAAAAAAACCAGGTTGGTTCACAAAGAGTTTAAGATAAAATTAAAGAAAAGCATCATAGATTTAAGAAATTTCAATTGACTGGTTTGACAGGAGATTTAAAAGATTAAAGAAGATCAATGAAAGTTGGTGAAACAGGAAATTAGAACCTCAAAAAGGATGTATGGGGAAAGGTTGGCTGAAAATGTAAAAATTAACAGTGAGGATTTCTTTAAATACATTAAGAGTAAACAAAATGTTAGGATGGAAGTAGGACCCCTGTTTGATGATAAAAGAAGACTAGTATCTGATAATTATGAGATGGCCGAGTTACTAAATTTTGCTTTTTCTTCAGTTTTTACTAAGGAAGATTTAAGTACTATTCCACATCTTGAACAGTTGATAAATGGAAACAAGATCAAACTAGATGACTACATTAATTCTGAGCTGGTTAAGAAAAAATTGGGAAGTTTAAAAAAATGATAAGGCTCCTGAGCCAGTTAATATTTACTCAAGGATTTTGAAGGAGGTTAAAATTGGATATGTGAACCACTTTTACTACTATTTTTTTTTGTCAGTCCTTGAATTGTGGGCAGGTACCAGAGGATTGAAAATTAGTTAATGTAACTCTTCTTTCCAAGGGAGGTGATAAGAATTGCCCCAGTAAACCCATTAGTCTTACATCAGTTGTGGGAAATGTTTTGGAAAGTCTGTTAAAAAATGCTTTGCAAAGTTAGTTAACAAAGTTTAGAATTTTATTGGATAGTCAACATGATTTTACTAAGGGAAATTCTTGCCTCACAAATAGTTTGACATTCTTTAAAAAGGTTACTGCTTATGTAGATGAGAGTAAGGATGTAGGTTTGGTGTATCTAGATTTTCAGAAAGCATTTAACAAGGTGCCAAATGAAAGGTTTATAAAAAAACAGAAAATTGTCTCTATAGTTAGCAAATTGGATAGAAGAGTGGCTGGATGAAAGAAAGTAGAGGGTTGTTACAAATGGAGTTCAGTCAAATTGGATTAATGTCACAAGTGGGGTTCCTCATGTCTCAGTCTTAGGACCTTTGCTCTTTTTGATTTACATCAGTAACATATATATGAAGGACTAGTCAATAAATTACTTAAATTTGCAGATGATATTAAGGTTTTGGGTGTTGATAGCTGTGAAGAGGATGCTGCTGATTTACAAAAGGATTTAGATCATTTATTGAGTTGGGCAAATAAATGGCAGATGAGGTTTAATTATAATAAATGCAAGATAATGCATGTGGGTTAAGATAATTTGAATTCTAAGTATAATTTGGATGGGAATAACCTTAACAATGTTATGAAAGAAAGGGATCTTGGTGTAATAGTCGATCAGTCTCTAAAGCTATCCAAGCAGTGTGCTGTTGTTAGTGGTAGGGCAAATAGGATTTTAGGTTGTATCTACAGAAATATTAAATATAAGTCTAAAGAGGTTATAATTTCATTGTACAGGTACTGGTCAAGCCACATTTTGAATATTATGTTCAGTATTGGGCTCCTTACCATAGGAAAGACTGAATTGCTGGAAAGGGTTCAGAGAAGGGTTACTAGAATGGTGACTGGGATAGAGGGGTTTTCATATGATGAGAGTCTGAAATCTCTGAACTTGTTTTCTTTTGAAAAAAAAAGTTAGGAGGGATCTGATTGAGGTGTTTAAGATTGTAAAGAGAATTAATACTGTTCATGCATCATCTTTTTTGGCAGGGTAGCTAAGACAGTTTTATTTTTCTAACAGGTACTTGTCCTTTGGAATGGGTTGCCTTCAGATGTTGTAGAAGCAGTAAATTTAAATGAGTTTAAGAAAAACCTTGATTAGTATATAATTGATAAGGTCTTGTTTAATTGTTTTTTTAAGTTAATTTAGTTTAGAGTGTGGAACAACTGAGATGGACCAATAGCTCCTATGCAAAAATGTAGAAGATCAATGATAGGATCTACATTTTCATCATCTCAATCTCAGCATTTTAAAATGTGCTTTTTTAACCAGATCTAATATATATATATATTCTGACTTGCATAACTTTTGTAACTAGTACAGAAAGCTTTACTAAACTTGTATCATCATTTAAATTAAACAATGCCTAACCAACATGAACAAGTCACATGTATGTTGCTTTTTAGACTTGCAGCTTTCGGAATATTGAAAGGAAAAGATTAAGATTGACTGTAGTTTGGTTTTAGGTTAATTGAGAAGTAAGAACTGGCAGTGTTTAAAAAGTTTGCATGAATTTGGAAAATGCTAAATGCATTGTTTGTGAAGAACAATTTATAGTGAATAATATATATAATAGGTACATTTGTTGTAACGGTAAGTGAAAAGGTAATTATCACTTCAAGAAATATACTAGGATTTAAA